AAGATAGTTTTAAAACGTTTCATAAGACTTTGCCCGCACTGAATCTAAAAAAAATATTTTACGACCTCGAGTAATTTTACAAAAACATTCTTTGCGTAAATTTTTGTGACACTCCAACTTTGTGTTTGTTTGGAAAAAAAACCTTTCTCCGAGCTATTAGCTATCGGTGAAGTAGTTAACAGTCTGATGGTTAACTTACGAGCGTGGTAAGACAGAGTGAAAGCGATTCCATAACTTCAAAAATGTATAGAACTGACAAAACCTGAAGACAGGCGTCAAGTGAAAGCAAATCGATGCAGCTTGCAGCAGATGGGCAACGGTCACTTCGCTATATCAGCGATTTCAGGTGACCGCTCGCTCGTTTGCCACCTTATGGTACAAAAAAATAACTTTTAATAAGTCACGTGATTGTCGCGTGACAGTTCCATACAATTTTGAAGTTTGTAATAGAATCGTTTCGAAGCGAATGATTTTATCTGAACCCTCAGATCAATGTGAGCCAACAACAATACCACTGGTTGAAGTCTGCATGAGTTGTTCCAGTCGACAGATTGTGTTGAACCAAGCGAGGGAACTCAACGCCAGACTACAGAAAGATATGCAAGCACTCAAAGATGTTTTATACAGGTTATTATCACGTTCACACTGACAAAACATACACATAACTTATTATTTAAAAAAATAAGTAAACTAAGTTCACTATGACATTCCGCGGAACAAAAAATTCAAAATTTCATCAAAATCTGTCAAGTTTGAAGCTCTAGAACAGTCTTTCCCAAAGTGTGCTATAACGACCCTCTTGTGGGCGCTGCAGGTGTCAAGTTGCGGGTTATAGTAAAAATTTCCTTTAGAATTCCCCGTTAATATACATATATAGGTCACAATAATTAATTAATTTAATTTGAAGTTATAGTGGTTTTTAAATATGTGAAAATATGGGGCGCTAAAAAATATTTATTCTCAAAGTGGGCAGTAGACAAAATAAGTTTGGGAACCACTGATCTAGAAGATCAAAAGAGAATAGTGTTTGTATATAAATAAGAATAAATATAAATTATAATATACAAGCTGCCCCCGACTCTGTCTGCCTGAAAAAAAAATAGTGTAGTATGTTCTATATGTATGTCAAATTTTATCGACATCCGTTCAGACGTTCTGGAGATATCTTTAAACAAACATCCATCTATCCAAACATTCGCATTTATAATATTATAGTAAGATAAATTTTTGTCAGTTGCCTAATTTTGTGGATTTACTTATTTTTTTAAGACGAAAAAGGCTGATTAATTTTATTATGTAATTATTATCGTTCATTAACTTCTAGTCTAGAATACTTAGCTTGTGTCTCAAGATAATAATTTTCAGACTGAACGTACAATTAGCACGTTACCAAGAGAAGATACGAAGTAATGTACCAACATTGAAAACAGACAAAAGTACAGACAGATATGACTGTATAGATTCAATTATTAACGCCAGCCTTGGACAGAGACGAGGTAATATACAGTAAGAGTACGTTTCCACTGACAAGAAATTGAATGAAATACAGGATGATTTTTTTTACAAACGTTTTCGCAGTGGAAATCGACCGTAATATAAAATAAGATCAACATTTTGTTATTTAAGTTTTTTACCTACATTAGATTCAATGGATTTTAGTTGAATAATGTAATTGTTTTACAATTTCCGATTTACATATGTACATTTATCCGATGTAACGGTGAAGGAAAACATCGTGATGCTGCACATATCTGAGAAGATCAAAGATATGTGTGAAGTCAACCCGCACTTAGCCAGCGTGGTTGACTATGACCTAATCACCCTTAACGGGTAGGCTTCGAGCCCCTCGGTGGGGACGTATAGTGAGCTGATGATGATGAATCTAATTTTTTCAACCTTTTTTTAACAAAATGTCACAATTAACATAATCTGTATAAAAAAAATAACAAAAGAACTGCTACTTTCATAAGATGACAGATGTCCTGTCCTATTCAAACATATTTTTTTTTAATTCTATAGTCTGATTTTATTTGTCTAGAATCTACGAATACCGAAGAAGCAACAAAAAAGGACTACAATGAAGAAACTCAACCAAGATTAGTGGATTTATCAGGATTACTCAGTGCACAGGCTTTAGGTATAACAATACTTTTACTGCACACTCAGAGTCGTTAATTGACCATTAAGTGCCACCATTAGTCTATTTAGTAAGATAAACCTATAGCAGTAAAATATTTAATAAAATTGTGACGTAATTCAAACACTAACAGTGGTAGAGCGAGCTTTAACATGTGCGCACGAATTGTCCTCGTCCGGTGAAATACCACGACCATACAGAAGACACGCCTCAAGTGGAAGTAATTCTGCGTTTCGTCTGATGAGTGTGCGTCCCGGAGGCCTAAGTTAGTCCTCTTTCACTTCCCACCCTTTTTCTTATAAGGAAAGGATGGGAAGTGGAAGTGGACTGTCCGGATGAGAGGATGCATGGAAAGGGAAAATATTTTCTTTCTGTGCATCCTATCCTCCGTCGATTAAAGGTAGGCAACGCATATGCAATTGCATATGTCTATGGGCAACGGTCACTTCGCTATTTCAGCGATTTCAGGTGAACGCTCGCGCGTTTGCCACCTTATGATATAAAAAAAACTTAAAAAAAAATCCGAGTCAAAAATTAAAAAAAAAATTAACATAACTATGATAATAATAATTTTCGTAATAATACAATGGTGTAATGTAATTTTTAATTTTTAAGGTTTTTTTTTATTTTTTTCCAGCACCATTATTTGACGCATATCAAGAGAATCTACAAGAGAAAGATAATTTAATAAATGATTATGAGAAACAATTTGAAAATATGAACAAAAAATCCAAAGAAATTGTAATCGAGAACAAAAATTTAAGTGATAAAGTGACGTCGTTAGAGAACGAACTGTCGCAAGTGAGACAGAGCTATAAGAAACTGGTAGTAGAGAGAGAGACGGCAGATATAGAAAAGGCAACTACACTAGAAAGAGCGGAACGAGCTGAATCCAAATTAAAAGAAGTTTATGAATTGTATGAAGATAAAAGTAAGTTTATATTATTATTATTGAAAAAAATACATTTTTTATTGTGTTTCTTTTCTAAATTTAAATAAAAAATTTTGGATCTTCAATCCATGGTATTTTCGTAGGTTATGAAATGGCAACACTAAATAAAAACACATGGCTTCTTTTTTCGTAAATAATTTGCAATTGTCACTTCAAAAGATTTGTTTGTTTAACAAATAATGTCAAAAATTTCAAATAGTTTATAAAAGCATCTAACAATTTGATAAACATGTAAAATTTGACAGAAAGTTCGATCGTTTTTCTTCAGTATTGCCATGTTTAAACTTTTTATTCCTACCGTTGTCAATGGTCGGATATTAATCGTCTATTATAATATTAACATTAGCTTGTCGATCGAATTCCGTACGCGTAGCATTAAAAAACCTAAATAACCTATGTGTTCTTCCTATGACTAGACTATGTTCTAAATCTATGTCAAATTTCAGCTAGATCTTTTCTAACCATCCATCCATCCGTCTAAACATTCTCTTTTATAATATTAGTAAGGATAGTAAGATTTTTTCATATCGAAGTGGCAGCAATGATACGTGACTACGAGACGGTACATCGCGAGTACTTCGCGGTGAAGTCCGCACTGGAGGCGTCAGCGGGCAAGATCTCTCAGCTGGACGCGATGCGCGCGCGCACCGTGCCCGCTGACCTGCACGAGCGCAGGCTGGATCATTGCAAACGGTATCTTCGTATTTAAACCCCTTTTCCATTAAACAGGTAGCTCCGAGACTGTCCTTGCTAGTGGAAACAAGTACTTATAATTAAATTGGTGTGTCTGTTTGTCTTCTTAAAAATAAATCATTATTCTTATATATCATGTATTCGTGGTGCTAATAATAATAAAAAAAAATTAAAAATTTTGGTCTGTCTGTCGTTATGTTTGTCGACAAGGTCGATTTAGTTCCGCGTAATCTGCGAAACGGGTGAACCGATTTTCATAGGACTTTGACTGGAAGGTGGCTTACTTACTTTTTTATTGATTTTAAATTGCTCATAAAATAGTCAACGCGTGAGACTTACCGCAGTTATCTCAGAGGTTTTAAGAATAGCTTGGAAGTTCAGTCAAGTGGAAGTTAAAAGTAAAAAAAATATGTCAACTTTATCACTCGTTAGATGGCGTTGTATTTAAATTAAGATTTTATTCAGATTATCAGCGTAATTTCATTAAAATTTTAGTACTTTTGTTAACCTCAGTTTACTAGAAGAACTGAAACACCAGTATTCAATGGAGAACGAACGTAAGTCTGAACAGGTGAAGAAGATGCAAGAAGATGTGCGCAGCACAGAAGAGAAGTACAACAAGATGTGTCAGGAACACGAGGCTGTCAAGGAGGAACTCAGAACAGCTTTGAAGAATGTCAGGTGATTATCAACTGAATCTGTTGAATGAAGAAGTAAAACTAGCTATCGCCCGCGACTCCGTCCGCACGGAATTTAAATACCTAACAATTAGGCTACATGTTCTTCCAGGCTTTGTTGTATGCATGCAGGCGTTCTGGAGATACCTTCATACAAACAAACATCCATCAAATCATTCGCATTTATAATATTAGTGAGATTCTTTTATAATATGTACAAGCAAGTCGAAAACACAAATAATTTATCTGATATTTAGTAAACTGCTAGTTTAGAAAAAAAAACAAAATTGTACAGGGGAAGAGATGATCGATGGATATTTCTATCGTGCAAAGACCTTACAACAATCAAGTTCGTTTAATATTCTCAAAGGTCGGCAACGCATCTGCAATCCCTCTGGTATTGCAGTTGTCCATGTATCATCATCAGCTCACTATACGTCCCCTCTGAGGGGCTCGGAGCCTACTATAAGTTAGGGGTGACTAAGCCATAGTCAACCACGCTGGCCAAGTGCGGGTTGACTTCACACATATCTTTGATCTTCTCAGATATATGCAGCATCACAATGTTTTCCTTCACCGTAAGAACATCAGATAAATGTAAATATTAAATCGGAAATCGAAAAACACATTAGTACATGATGGGAATCGAACCCAGGAACAAGTGAAGTGTTGAAACCCTTGAACCACCGACGCTCTCATTTGTATGAGCGTTGTTGAAAATCTCGGTGTTTCCGTTGCCACTTATTTTATAACATAAAATCTGTTAGACTGTACCGTCGCGCGGCGGTGATATTCCGACATCGCGCGCGCACCGCCGCCGCGAGTGCGATGCGCGTGCGCCGCGCCCGCACCAAGCGCACCAAGCGTACACACAACGAGCCGCTGCAACACGCACTACACGCATTGGATACTATTAAAACTGAGATAAAGGTATTTATAAACTTTACCTGCGCCATGTTGTTAAGAAGATAATCCAACACTAGCCTAATTAAAATGTCAAAGTTTATGTCCCCTCACTAATCATTCTGACACTCGACTTTGTATCGCGCGTCGTCAAATTTCATCAAAATACGGAACGGAACGTTGAACCGTTTCCGTGATCCCTTCTAACAAACATCCATCCAAACTTTCGCATAATATAAGCTATCGCCCGCGATTTCGTCCGCGTAGAATTAAAACAAAACATGATTAGTAGCCTATGTGTTCTTCCAGACTATGTTCTACATCTATGTCAAATTTCATCATATGTTGAACCGTTCCGGAGATGTCTTCAAACATCCATCCATCTAAACGCCTATATATTATAATATTAGTAAGTAACATTAAGATTTAAATACAAATTTCGTCACAATATCGGATTTTTTTCTCACATAGGCAGTGAGATCTCGTGCCTATACATCATTGGAGGAATTAGAGCGTCGCATAGTGCAGCAGGAGCGTCGTGCTGCAGCCGCCCAAGCCGAGCACCGGCGCGAGCTGGAGCGCGCCGCCCTCGTGCTGCAGCACAAGGAGGGCATTATACGTAGCCTCATTGATAAGGTCGCTGATGTTGAGGAGGTCAGGTGAGTCAACAGAAACCACGCGAAGAAACACTAGTGGAAAAGTCATCTGAATTTGACGAAATAGTGACCGCTGCCCATAGACACTTGCAGTGCAGATGCGTTGTCTACCTTTGCATACTTAGAGCGTCGGTAGCTCAGGGGTCAAGCACATGACTTGCAATCTGTAGGTCCAGGGTTCGAATTCCACCATGTATGTGTTTTTTAAAATCACATATGTACATTTATCTGTCATTCTTATGGTGAAGGAAAACATCGTGATGCTGTACATATCTGAGAAGATCAAAGTTATGTGTGAAGTCTGCACTGGACCAGCATACACTACGAGCTAATCACTGACTTAGGATGAGCTCCGAGACTCAGTGGGGACGTATAATGAGCTGATGGTGATGTCTACCTTTGGATCTATAGTGGAAGGGATGCATAGAAAGATAATATTTTCCCTTCTCTGTCAAATATACTTCCCCTTACCTTCCTTTATAAGATAGGTTAGAAGGGAAAGAAGACTAACATAAATCTTCCGGCACACTCATCAGACTGTACTTAGTAACTTGAGCACTAACTCATGAGGCGTGTCTTCTGTGTAGTCATGTTGCAGCTTGCGACGCCCATTTATGTTGTTGCTTGCTAAAAAAATCTTAATCAAAGATATTTTACTACAGATTAAGTCAAACCAATGCTCATCGTCTGCAAGGGATAGTCTCAAATTCATCTTCCGAAAGTTCTTCAACAAAAGAAAAAGATAAGAAAGATACGAAACAAACTGATAAAAGAAAAGTTAATAAATAAAATTAGAATTTTCTTATGTAAAATTTTTTACGCGTTAATCTCAAAAACTATGAAACGAATTTGGAAAATTCCTTTTGCATTTATTCTAGAAGGTTATAAGGTACTAGATGTCGCCCGCGACTTCGTCTGCGCGGAAATAAAAAATAATAATAAGTACGCTATGTGTTCTTCCAGACTTGTTGTTCTATATCTATGCCAAATTTCAGCGAGATCCAAGCAGCCGTTTTGGAAGAAACATCCATCCATTTAAACATTCGCATTTATAATATAGTTAGTAAGATAGAACAAAATACGAGTTTTAAAATATTAATACGTGTTCGCGATATATTGTGACGTCATCAAATTGTAATAATAATAAGTAAGCAAAAGAGATTTAATAAATTATATTTATCTGTTAATTGAAATATCTAACTGTGGGTTTCCGAGACTTGTATCCCAAAACATATTGTTATCTCTCTTTCCTCAAAAATAATGACAGAGACGACGATATGTTTTATATTTTGGTCTCGGAAGGTCAAATAGTAATTATTTGATGAAATATGTAGTTTTGTGGGGATTTTTGACTTATATTTGTTCTAGATATTAATTTATGTTGTAGAGTTTGATATAGGATTTGTCACAAAAATATTATTTCTAGGGGATGAAAAAAGGTGTCTTGACAGACAGACGGACAACAAATTGATTCTATAAGGGTTCTGTTTTTTCCTTTCGAGGTACGAAACATTGAAAAGGGACGGAGACTTATTATAGGGCAATATATATATCTAAAAAAAAAAAAAATTATATCATAAGGTGGCAAACGAGCGAGCGGTCACCTGAATTCGCTGAGATAGCGAAGTGACCGTTGCCCATAGACATACGCAATCGCATATGCGTTGCCTACCCTCAATCGACGGAGGAGAGGATGCACAGAAAGAAAACATCTTCCCCTTCCATGCATCCTCTCATCTGGAAAGTGCACTTCCACTTCCCATCCCCATAAGAAAAAGGGTGGGAAGGGAAAGAGGACTAAATTACGCCTCCGGGACGTACACTCATCAGACTGTAGTTGGAATAGCTTGCAGCACTTGACGCGTGTCTTCTGTATGGTCGTGGTATTTCACTGGGCGAGCCGGGACAATTCGTGCGAACATGTTAAAGCGGGCTCTACCACTGTTATGAGATATTCATTCTATTAAAATAATCATGGCACTTTTGTTATTTAAAATGTTTGTAGTAAAATTATATTTATTAGTATAATAATAAAATAGAAGAATTTACTTTTAACTTAAATAAATTTAGAAATATTTCGTCCATGTTTTATTTACCCAAATTCCAAACACAAGAGTAAAATTTTTATTACAGTCAGATTTTAAAATGACGAAGTTCACAATTGTTCGGTAACATACATGACTCAAATAAGTCAGTGATAAAATAATTCTGAGGCCACTAGCATGTGGGTGAAATTAAGATACGATGTATCTAGTAAACATCACAGTCTGCTTCCACTGGTTAAATCGTAATAAACATATTGTCATCTCTCACATTCTTCTAAAAAAAAACTGAGACAAAGATACGTTTTTATTTTGGTTATTCCACAATGGAAACTCACGCTAAGCTTGGACTAAAATGATAATAGTAATGTCATTGCCCTTGTTTTTAGACATGCTTTAAAAAAATTAAACTAAAGTTTTTTTTTTATTTAGAAAACAGGAATCGATAAATTCATGAAATATCCTGTACAATATCAATCTGTAAAAATTTGCAGATATCAAGTCTTACAAAAACATAGTTGCATAGAGAAATATCCTTTTCCTATGTGTCCTCTCCTCAGTCCATAGACATCCGAAATTACAGCCCGTATCAATTCGAGTGTCTATGGGCAGATGTCGCTTTGCTATTTCGGCGAATTAGGATGAGTAAGCGACCCTATTATAAAATTTTCAAAAACACAATTATATGTTTTTGTTCTTTTTATTATTGGCAATAGAAACCTAAAGGATGTTTTTTTTTTATCTCTTGTTATTTATTTATAAAATGACCTTGTGATCGTTTTTTTTAAACAGACGTCAATATTATCTAACTTTTAAAAATAAGGTTGCTAATAAACTGTAACCTCATTCTATTTAAATATCAATAAACCTTACATTTCTAATTAAAAAAAAAACAATCGTCATATTTATTTATTTTAAGTTTGTAAGTTCTTACCTGATATGATCAAGGAAGTGACAACTGTCGGAAGATACATCAACACAGAGGACGAAAACTGTGTCGACCCTACGTTAGTGAGATGAGGACAAAGATGTTGATCTGTACTTAGCTGTGATCTGCAGGAAATTAACATGTTTATTTTAAATATTTCAACATTGTATACATTAAAATTTAGGTTATAATAGGCATAAGTTGGCCCCCACTTTCATAATTATTAAAGTTGAAATTTGGTAAGGCCATTTTGAACAATCAACACGTGAAACCTTAATAATTGTACCTTCATTTATATCGTTTTCTTATCAGCATTTGTTGTCTTAATGAAACGTATAAAACATAGCGGCATCTTGTATTTAAACAACGCGTAAATGTCACCAGCTAATCGTGTAGTGGCGCGAAAATTGACAGAACGCCGTTTGTTTTAAAATAATTGTCAAATGTTTTTGTGTTTTTCGGTACAAAGTAAATTTATAGCTTTTTATTAAAAATAAATTAAAGTGGCACAGAAGAGCTTTGCAAGAATTAAGAAAGGTATACCTACACTTATTTAAAACGTCTACATAACTTTATTTTTGAGGTTATAAAATATCTTTATGATAGTTCCTATATACTTACCGTTGATTTCTGCTATCCAAATCTTTGTATAAGACATATATTCATCCCTGTCGTTATCTTTGGCAGAATAGACATAATACAATTTAAACGGGGATATTGTTTTCAGAAACCCATTGTTACAATAATTATTTTTCAGATGATATTTAAAACGTTATGTTTTCTACTTGCTGTTAACTACGGAGTAATGCAAGATCGTAATTGTGACTTTTTTCAAAACGTATGTATATGTATATATTAATATATGTATATATTAATATTTTAATTACATTTTAGCGCTTATTATATAAAAATAAGAGCGTCGGTGGCTCAGGGGCCAAGCACTTGACTTGCAATCTGCAGGTCCTGAGTTCGAATCCCGCCATGTACCAATGTGTTTTTACATATGTACATCTATCCGACGTTGTTAGCCTAATCACCCTTAACTTAGGGTAGGCTCCGAGCCCCTCGGTGGGGACGTATAGTGAGCTGATGATGATGATGATATGTTAAAGACAGCAATAAAATAAAATCTAAAGTCGCTACTAATATAAATAAACTAGCTGTCGCCTTCGACTTCGTTCGAGCGGAATTATAAAAATACTTAGTAAGTTGCCTATGTATTCTATCAGACTGTGCTCCACATGTATGCCAAGTTCAGCGTTTCAAGCTGGAGATACCTTTTAATAAACATCGATCCATCCATCTTAACATTCGCATTTATAATATTAGTAAGATTAAGTGACATAAGTATACTTAGGAAAGTATTAATATTTGGCTTTTCCTACTCAGGTCTCCTGTAACTTAAAAAACTCATTTTATTCATGTTCTTAAGTTGTTTTAATATTAATCTTATATTAGGTGGAGCCGAACCAGATATACTCCGTGTATAGCCCGGGGTATCCTCGCAACTACACCCCGGGGGTACAGTGCCGGTGGTACGGCGTCTGTCCTAACGGATACCACTGCAGGCTAGATTGCCCGGATATTAATCTGCCCCGGGTAAATTGTGCATATAAATCCAATACTAAAATCTCTGTATAAAACATATCCCGTCCCTATCATTATCTATGACAAAATAGAGATAACAATATGTTTCAAAATAGTGTATCTGTTTAAGATAAATTAGTTTGATAAATAACGCCTATGAAGTATCGAATTAATTTTGTATGACTTTTAATGTTGTACTTAATAGACGGTTATCATAATGTCGGACAGTACGCGCATTACGAACAACTATGAACTATCAAGAATCGATTTTATAATAATATTACTCGAACAAATAAATACTATAACTTATTACTTTTCGAATTTATTAAATATTAGCTGTCTAGCGCAATTAAAAGAAAAAAAAAAACGTTTATTTTTTTTTTGTTTCTCGACATCTCAATTTTTAGTTTAATGTTTTATTTTTTATATGGTTTTGAATAATAAAAATGGCATAAAATAATAATTTGTTCTATATTGTGAATTATAAACAATAAACACAAAATTTTCGATTGAAAGTTCTGTGAGAACAACTATCGAAAACAGAAAATTTTCATAACCGATTTAAATAATCTCTAGTGGATTGCCACGTGAATTTTCAAACTAATTTATCTTAAATAGACATACTATATATGTTTTTACAAGAGTTTCGGTAATGAAAACTCATTTTAAGACGTTATCTTTAGAGCAACATGTGTTCAATGGATCGCCTGCTGATATCAAGAACTGGAGATCCTCAGCTGTCATCTGCAGAGTACTACTGCGGTCGTGGCACACTCAGCGTCACGTCTGTCGCACAGAGATTGTCAATCGGTAGGCTATCCGTCAGTAAACATGGCCCCACTGTGCCCGGTGTGTTCAGACTAAGCGCCATTTGTGCCCGCCCACCTCAAGTTCAGTGAAGCTGTAAATACCTCTTCAAGGCAAACAGAGATTACTCAAGTACAAAAAAAGTGCCCGGAGCCAAAAGAAGTGACTGGTCAATGCTGGTCCAATGCAGACTTCACACATATATTTGATCTTCGCAGATATGTGCACGATGTTTCCCTTCACCGTAAGAATTTAAGATAAATGTACATAATAATATTCGATGAAGAAGATGAAGAATGTGATAAAGAAAATAAGAGAAGAAAGATTTACTACATTAAATGCAGAAGAAAAACTTTTACACTTTCTTAAATAAATCGAAAAGTAAATTTTTATATAATACTTTCCCACTTCCCCTTAGATCTGTTAATGCAATTGATAATTTGTCGCAGTTGTCGCACGCGACTCCGTCGAATCGAATTAAAAAAAACCTTTATTAACAGCCTATGTTTTCTTCCAGGCTATGCTTAATTTCATCAAGATCCGTTGAGCCGTTCTGAAATCTTAAACAAATATCCATCAAACAATCAAACAAATATCCATCTAAACATTCGCATTTGTAATATTAGTAAGATGAATTTAACAATTTTCTGTGTCCAGGTTTGTCAACGTCATCCAACAGCACCGGCGGACGCTTCGCCTGTGAACTGAGAGCACAGCAATAGCAGGGATTTGACAATTCTAGACCAATAGTCAGTTATTAATAATATAAATGTTTATGCACCAATGCTTTATACATGTTGTGTTTATCTGTAAGTGAAATTACATGTTGCCTGAAACCTTTTGTAATAGTGCCTAAAATATATATAAGAACACATGTACTTTTGTTGACGAACCAAATAAATAAATAAATGATTACAAATTGCATTGCACATTTAAAAGAAAAAAATGTTTCACAATGAAACTTCTCCCTAAGTGCCTTTTATTCAAGTATAATACAACTAAATTATTCAAACTTTCGTGAGACATTATACTAAACTGATATATAAACACGGCTAAACACTCACGTATATACGTCTGGTGGCAGCACCGACTAGTTTAATACTAAAATAATACCAGTGCCACTCATCCTGATGAAGGGCCCCCGATGGGCTCGAAACTAGTCGGTGCCGCCACCGGACGTATATACGTGAGTGTTTAGCCGTGTTTATATATCAGTTTATAATACAACTGTTAGGAAAGAAAATCCGACACTGTGCCGGTGTACTGGCGCAACACTAGCCTTATTAAAATGTCAACGTTTATGTCCCCTCACTAATCAATCTGACACTTGATTAGGTAACGAAAACGCGCCATTCGCGTCATTGCGACTTCGTCTCCGCTTATAAACCTTCCTGTGGTCCCTTCAAATCCAGAAGTTCCGAAGATTACTCGGAACAAACAGCCTTGCGGACAACAAGACAAAAATTTAAAAATAGATTTTCCGATATCGGCAACACAAATATGTCTTTTATGATTTTTTTTCTCGCTATAATATACCAACACTCCAAATTTATTAATACGTATAGATCGGTGATACTTGCTATAAATTTTCACCCATGAGACATACGTTTTCAAACATGTAAACATTACCTTAACCAAAAACAAGGTAAGTAATCAACTAATGACATCATTCTATTTAAATATCACACAACCGTATCACCTATGATTCACAGTTCTAAGAAAAATATCTCATCTTTTTATGTTATGTTGTTTTGTATGTGCCTATGCCGGACGCACGGACCGCAACAGATTTTACTTTGCTTTGACTTTTCATAGCGCCGTTACGTCCGTGTCCGTGCGGTGCGTCTGGCGCGGGCCAAAGAACACTTTCCTTAAATCTTTGGCTGGTTGGTTACAAAGTGTCGTCTAAAATGTCAATGAGAATATTGCCTTTTTCTCTTTATAGATGTCATGATCAAGAGTTAGTGTTATAACGTGACGAGCTTTGTTCTTTGTTATATTTTTTAAATTGTGATAGGTGTTTTATAATTTTACAGGCTTATTGTCTTTAAAATGCTTTTGAAGACTGAATAAAGGTTAAAGCACAACACAAGCAATAGCCTCGCCAAAAATCTCATATAATTTTTTATGAACACTTCGTCATTGTGCCTTAACTTTTCTGCAAAGATATCCATACACTCATACAAAAAATGTCGTTATCACCAATGTTACTACCAACTTACTGTGGGTTTCTAAGACTAAAATCCACGTTTAAAATATATTACAGAGATTTTGAACTCAGAAATCGGCAGTAAGTAAAAATATTTATTATATTATACGCATACGCAATTGCGTATGTCTATGGGCAACGGTCACTTCGCTATTTTAGCGATTTCAGGTGGCCGCTCGCTCGTTTGCCACCTTATAGTATATAAAAAAAAGAAATAAATAAAAATATATTTTATTATTAACTAATAATAATCAATATAATACACTTAACTATTGAACCGAGATGTAAACTTGAAATTTGAATTGACGTCACCAATGCGGGCTGGTTGTAAGCGTTTTCCTTATCATGTAAACCTTTTCAGCAGTGATTGTAGCCGCCAGCTATTCTCTTATCAGCATTTGATGTGTTAATGAAGCATTTAAAACAATTAATAGCACCGCAAATGTTTCACACGACGCGTAAATGTCACCCGTCTATCGCGTCTACGCGGGAAAAGTGACAGAACGTTGTTTTTTTTTTAAATAAAAGTTAAATGTTTTGGTGGTTTACAATATAAGTAAATAAAAAGTTTCATTTTTAAAAATTGTTATTGACGAGTTTTACATCACTTAAACAAGGTAAAGAAATTAACTACATAAAACATATAAATAGTAAATTTATACTATAATATTATTATTTACGCAACTAGCACTTATTTTAGCATTATTTTTTTTTAGTCTGGATTGTAGAGCCATTTAATGGTATCATAGCATACTGACTAAGCGTTGGTTAAGACTAAAATCTTACTACGAATGTTTGGATAGATAGATGGCTGGATATTTTAAACGGTATCTCTAGAACGGCTGGATAGATTATGATGAAATTTGTCATAGACACGACTTAGGGGCTTTCAAGAAAAGAGCGTACACTCTGCGATTCCTCTGACGTTGCGGATGTTCATTGGCGTCGGATCAAATAATTTTAGGCGATTTGTTGCTCGTTTGCCCCCTTCTACTATAAAAAAGAGAACATAGCCTGGAAGAACCCATAGGTTACTAATTAAGTTTTTTTTTTAATTCCGCGCTGATAGAGTCGCTGATGATCTCGTCATCCAACAGTGATAACAATATGTTTTAATACTGTTAAATACTTTTTTAACAATGATTTCAAGTCGTCCAAGTGTATGAGTAAACATCGGTATGCTAATGACCTAGAGAAAAGTATTTGTGCCATCACAAACATGTCCCTACTTATCAAGATTTGAAACTAGTTCACTATTGTAATAAACTCACTAAATGTGTATATAAGTTTGAAAATAAATTTCAATAAGTATAAAAAGTATTGTGCCCATGATTTTATAGGATTACTAACGGACCCGACAGACGTTGTCCTGTCTACACGTCTTGAAATTTGAAAATTTCAAACTTTTTTTAATAAGCTAAAATTAAAATTCGAATATTATTTAAAATTTGACACTGCGATGGTAGCGCCGTCTGTCGGATCCAATGTAAAACATTCCAAAATCAACAACTACTAATTAATTAAAAATTAATTAAAAAAACATTGTCCAGCGGACAAAATTGTGAATGTAAACCATTCCCAGATCCCCTTGAACACACACAAAAAATTTCATCAAAATCGGTCCAGTCGTTTGAGAGAAGTTCAGTGACATACACAGAATAATTATATATATAAAGACTAGCTGTCGCCCGTGACTCCGTCCGCGCGGGATTAAAAATAGATATTGGCCGATTCTCAGACCTACTCAATATGCTCACAAAATTTCATGAGAATCGGTCAAGCCATTTCGGAGGAGAAAGGTACGAAAATTGTGACACGAGAATTTTATATATAAGATTGGAAAATTTTAAATTGTTAATAAATAAAAACTACATATTTAAGATCTTATATGAATTAGACGTTAGCTGAATTTAAAAAAAAACGTAATTTTAAAATAGCCTATGTGTTTTCCAGATTATGTTCTACATCTATGTCAAATTTCATCGTGATCCGTTCAACCGTTTTGGAGATACCTTCAATCAAACATCCATCTAAACATTCGCACTACATTAGTAAGAAGTAAGATATAGCGTAAATAACAAAATTGAATTTTCAATATAATACATTGATTAACGAAATTATAAACAATCGCTTTCTAAATTATCGAAGTAAATAAAATTTTATCGATAAATATTAAATCGATTGATTGCTATTTATCAGTGTAGCAATTGTTTTTAAAAATAAATATTTCTTAATTTTCATTTAAGACGTATCAGACAGTCACCCTTAAAGGTGCCTCATTAAATAATTAAGTTTCGTTTACTTACTTACTTACTCCGCTGGCGCATCGATCCAAAGTGGGTCTTGGCCTCCGACACAAGAGATCGCCAAAGTCGCCTGTCTTGCGCCTTCTCCTGCCAGTCCATTGTGTGCAAGTTTCGTTTGCGAAAATAATTTTATTTCCTTTTTTTATTACTTTAAATATTTGAGATTCAATGTCAATGGCTAGAAAGGTAGAGGAAGACCAAAAAAAGTATGGATGGATATGTGTAGGAAGGAGGTAGATTCAGATCTGATAGAGATGTATGGAGGAGTACATACAGTGCCGACCTTCAATATGGATAAGGGCAGGTTGATGATTACTTTTAATATTTGTCCTGTCTATATATATTTAGCTCTATTATTTTTTTCAGATGATATTAACAACTTCATGTGTTCTACTTGCTGTTATAAACTACGGCCACGCGCAAAATCCTAATTGTGATTTTACACAAAATGTAAGTATAAACTAAATTATCTTATTACTCTTTCAAACCATTGTATCACACTGCGTAATGTAATTTTTTATAATTTTTGTTTAAAAACTTGATAATTAACACTTTCAATGCCACTACGATTTTATATAATTATGAAAACAAAATCACCAGGCCAGTCGATGGCAGTGAACATGTTAATTTTCTTTATTATCTTTCGTACGTATTTTTTTGTAAACTTCTATTAATCTTATATTAGGTGCAAGCAAACCGCATGTACTACGTGTACAGCCCGGGCTATCCCCGCAACTATACCGCAGGGGTGCAGTGCCGGTGGATTGGAATTTGCCCCGCTGGGTACAACTGCAGGCTAGACTGCCCCGAAGTTAATCTGCCCCAGGTGAATTGATGAACCGTATAATATTCCAGGGTACAAGACAAACGGACAGACAGTCTGACCGATATAGAGAGGCAAAAATCAATGCATACTTCATCATCAGCTCACTATACGGCCCCACCGAGCTGCTCAGAGCCTATCCTAAGTTTGGTCTGACTAGACCATAGTCAACCACGCTGGCAAGTGCTTTAACTCCTGAGCCACCGACGCTCTAGTCAAGTGCTTTAACCCCTGAATCCATACTTACGTCTTAAAAATAAAAGCATACCGTCTTTCTACATATCTACTCTTTGCTGATTACATTCCCGCCAAAAACTCCTGTTAAAAACAAAACAAAAACAATGCCAAAATACAGATTCGGTTGTTTCGGCAGTCTTTTGTTTTTCTATGTACACAACGTTTCATCTCTCTCATTGTCATAGAAAAAGACAAGGACAGTTATATGTCAATTTTACAATTGTTAACTTTCTAGAGTAACATGTGTTCAATGGATCGCCTGCTGATATCAAGAACTGGAGATCCTCAGCTGTCATCTGCAGAGTACTACTGCGGTCGTGGCACACTCAGCGTCACGTCTGTCGCACAGAGATTGTCAATCGGTAGGTTACGGTAACTATTAACGTCTAGACTGGCTATAAGATCTAATATTTAGTGTACCTGACAGTGGTAGAGCCCGCTTTAACATCTTCGCACGAATCGGCCCGGCTCGCCCGGTGAAATACCACGACCACACAGAAGACAGTCGTGAAGAGGAAACTATTCCGCGTTTCGTCTGATGAGTGTGCGTCCCGGAGGCCTAATTTAGTCCTCTTTCCCTTCCCACCCTTTTTCTTATAAGGAAAGGATGGGAAGTGGAATTGGACTTTCCGGATGAGAGGATGTGTGGAAAGGGAAAATATTTTATTTCTGTGCATCCTCTTCTCCGTCGATTAAAGGTAGGCAACGCATATGTAATTGCGTATGTCTATAGGCAACGGTCACTTCGATATTTCGGCGATTTCAAGTGGCCGCTTGCTCGTTTGCCACCTAACGATATAAAAAAAAATTTAGTTCCTTTTTGGCTTTCGTAATTTTGCCGCTGATGACGTTAGTGAACTGTCACTTAACATTGAAAAAAGCGTTTAAATCCGAAGTAAGCGAATTCGCCTATCCATTTATAGAGTTTGTCATTGAGTCCACTAAAATATAAAATAATCGTACTTTGCAAAGCTAGCCGGATACAATATTAATTTTTGTGTTTTTTTTAATTAAAAACAAATAAGAAGTGTGATTTTTCTTTATGATAATCAGCCGCTTTCTAATCTATTTGATTTGTTAATAAAATCACGATTAATTGTGTATTTTCCTAAAACATATCACTTATAAAAAATCTAACAGTTGATAAGAGATTGTAAATGTTAGATTGCGACATATAATAGAAATGGCCCGGAAATAATGTTTAAAAACAAATACAATGGTTTCTTTAAAGATTGACGCGCGACAATCACGTGACATATCCAAAGTTATTGACATTTTTGAAGTTCGTTATGGAACTTCTTCGAAACAAATGTACTTAATCTAGCCCTGCAGCACTCACAAAAGATTATCCTTCTTCCCCTATAAAAATTCAAATGATAATTAATCAAGTAATGAATCTGTTTCCATACCTAGGTCTGATATCATCATACTATAGTACTGGGGGGCGTTTCTACTGTCAACTCACAGCACAACGAGCTGCTGTAACACCTGCACCTTGTCGCTGCGGATACAAGAAGTCGGTAAGATGGCCAAATATGAACCTACGAAGAACTGCACTTTGAATGTAGTCATCGGTAACTTACCTTAAATTGATGACCTCCAGATCACTGTTCATATGAGCAGATCAGTTAACCGGTTCATTGTTCAGTTCATTTTGCACCTTCATAGAGTTATTATTTGTGTTTCGAGCTATAAACAAGTCACCTGGCGTGTGTTCTTCGACTTTATAGTTATAGTATCGCATTGAGCCGCTGAAGAGTTCAAGTCTTAGTGAGCTGAATTGATTCAGCACTTATTTACTCTCACATATAACAGAAAACTCACTGTACTAAAACTTGCATTTCTACGTCAATACGTATTAATGCAAATCTCATCTCCATCAGGTCTAGATTCTCTTGAACCTCTTATTCAATGTCAAATTCTAATTTAGATCTAGTCTTAACACAGACCCGTGTTCCAGAACCGTATAGTGGGTGGTCAGGAGACGGGCGTGAATGAGTTCCCGATGATGGCTGGTGTGGTATACGTTGATATCAGACAAATCAAGTGCGGAGGTGTCATCATCAGCGCACGGCACGTGTTGACAGCAGCACATTGCGTCATCAGAAGAACTGTCAATGATATTGCCGTTGTTGTTGGAGAACACGATGTTAATACAGGTAAGTAATGGAAAATTGAGGAATTAAGGCATTATTTATCTTCAAATAGCTGTCGCCGCCTATGTGTTCTTCCAGGCTATATTCTACATCTATGCCAAATTTCATCAAGAAAGATTCTGCAGATAACTTCAAACATCCATCTAAAAATTCAAATATTTGCATTTATAATATTAGTAAGTTGATGCATACTGCAATTTAACAACTTGTTAATTACTATTAACAAGTTGTTAAATTTCTAACTATTAAGTAGCTCTTTTCGAGAAAAATAAAAATGCACAGTCGAATATTTCGTTATAAAAGTCCTAGTTTGAAATAATAATACACAACACTTGTTTACTTATTTATAATACGAAGCCTGTATGCTGTTATAAATTCATTTTGCATTCCAGGCGACTCACCGGCCACGCAGGGCTTCAGGGTCATTAGCATCAGGATACATCCATTGTACAATTTGTGAGTTCATATAAATGTTTATTATAGAATTTCAAATATTTAGTTCATAAATTAATTAGGAACAGCTTAACTGATATATAATGATCCGGTCCCGGCACCGACTAAATTTCGACCGATAGTACCGACTAGAAGATGGACCGGGTCCGTAACTAGTAGGTGCCGTCACCGGTCCACAATACTAGAGTTCAGCCGTTCTTAATTAACCTAATATAATGTTTCACGAATTTTTAAACAATTTATTACCTAGTCATTTAATTAAATAATATTATTTTAATAATAATTTCAGGTCAAACTACGACAACGATATAGCAATCCTCACTCTCCAGCAGGACATTGTGTTCAGTGACCGTGTGGGCCCTGTCTGTCTGCCATTCAAGTTCATCAATAATGACTTTGCTGGAAACAAAGTTACCGTGCTAGGTACCAGCTTATGATCTATTATGGTTTACACTCCAATACTTAAAGGTTCTATAAGGTCACAGAGTAAAATCCATCATATGTTTAATATTACGTATTAACAAAAAGATGGGATGCGAACTAAACGACACAAGAAAATAATTACAAATTCTAGAGCCTGAAATAATCAATCTAGCATCTAGAGTTCAGTCAAATACTACATTCCCAAAAGATTATCCTGATGTTTGGATTTGAAAGACGCGAGAGAGATGTGCCAACTCCAAAGAATCCATAATTTCTGCCCAATTGATTCACGGGAGGGTTGTGTCTTATAGTTACTGAATTCCTTTAGGTTGGGGCACATTGTTCCCCGGTGGCCCGACGTCCAACGTGCTGCAGAAGGTGGACCTGGACGTGATCAGCCAGGCGACCTGCCGCCGCTCTGAAGCGCTGCTCACACCACGACAGATGTGTACTTACACGCCTGGAAAGGACTCTTGTCAGGTACGAGAAATATACTAGGTCATTGAATAGTCGCTTAGTGTGGATTATTCATACCAAATAATTTAGAGACCAAAGGCTCCGTGCCTTAAACTAAGTGCGGCAGTAGTTTACTAGCTTAACTCAAACGTAGTTTAGTGTCCCATGCATCAGCAAGAAGGGCCTTATCGCAGTGTCATATATAAAGGACTCCATTGAGTTCGACACTATTCTTAAGGGTTTGTCTTAGTATGCGGTAATTAACTGCATTTATTTATAAATACTTTTGTTCCCAGGACGATTCAGGTGGTCCTCTTCTGTACACGGACCCCTCTAACGGTCTTTTATACAACGTGGGTCTTGTCAGCTACGGCGCGTTCTGTGCGTCAGGCTCCCCCGCCGTCAACACTCGCGTCACGTCATTCCTGGACTGGATTGTCGCAACCACACAGGTTGATTTTTGCAGAACATAATAAATTATTGTTATAAAAATTAAAGTTTTAGTACAAACTAAAATTATTCCCTTTCCTTTTTTTCTTCCTTTTCCCCATATATAATACTAAGATTTGCATTTATAATATAATATTATTTAGTAAGATTATAAGTTTTGTATGCCTGAACATTTTATTGTCTTCTTTAGGAACTATTACTTGATAAAAACCTCAATAAACTATATTAAAATATTTCGCAAAATTGGAATACTGTTATTCAATTTGAAAGTTAAAAAAACAAACAATCTATCCATCAATCCATCCATCCATCCTTACAAACATTCGCATTTATAATATTAGTATCATTAGTATGATGTGTCGTAATAAAAGCAATTAAATAGAATTTAAAAAAAAACGAAAATGAATATTGTGAAACTTTAGTTCTGCTACTCGATAATAGATGGCGCTATATTGTAAAACCGGTCTCAAGCGAGGGTGGGCAGTAACAAGCGCCTGGTAACGGCTATTGATTTTCCGAACACCGCCCACAGGCCGACTGCGCGCTAAACATCCCCAGTCCCCGACCGACACTATCGTTTCAACTCTCAACATCATTCCTTATTAGATATTTTATTTAAAAACATATTAGAAATGTAGGTTAAGTTAGTGTTAAAAGAATGTGTTTTAATTTATCGTGTTTTATATTTTTCTTTTATAATACTAAATTAATTTGTTAGAAAATGGAAGTGAACATAAAGATATTACATGACGCCGGAAGGTAGTGATCAGATAATGCCTAAACGTATCCCTTTCCATATAGTTTACGCAACAAGTAAGTATTATAAATATAAATACTAAATACTATGTTATAAAATACTTTTATAGTACTTAAGAACTAAGGTAAAATACTTTCATCAAGAAAAATAGATGTAAAGCATTATCAAGCCGGACTTACTCATTAGAAGATAAAAAAAAAAACAAAATCCTTTAAAATAAAAGGTCAAAAGCCGGAATTAAACATCGAAAAATAATAGGCATTATTTTATAATATATTTGTACTCTTTTATATTATAACTATAATATTTAGCCAAAATTAATGACAATTGATCCATAAAATCTTTATTAAATATAAGGGTATAGAAGAGAGGTAAGTTAAATTTTTGTAATTTAAAACATATTTAAAATATATGTTCACTGAGAATCTTCGTTCATAATTTCATTGATTTGATTCCTATTGTTTAAAAGTAGTCTTATTTCGAGTATCCATACAACTTTTATGAGGTTAATCTTAAACACGAGTTCCTAACCCGTAAATTAATCCATAATTTCAATATGACTATTTGAAGCGAAGCCGAAATAATATAAAGTTGTTTACAAGAACTGACCGAATTCAGTACATAAAGTAAAATTATACTTAAATATTAAATGAATTAAATTACTGTTTAAATGTAATATTATTAGATGTTTTTATTTGATAAACTTAGACATAAAAACAGTTGAACTAAGTACTTATTTATAACTTACTTAAAAGTAATTAAGGCGAAGAAACTATCGAAATGTTTGCTATGTGTGAGACAGATAATATCCAGTCGAACTAAATAAGCGAGAAACCTCGTTCTGCGAGAGTCAGTGTCCAGACATAACGGATGAACTTTGTAAGCGAGAAACTCCGGTTAGAGAGAAACCTTTAAAAGTGGGAACTATATCACGATCCCTTTGACTTTATCCAGGTTCGACTGCATAACTAAGACAAAGTAAGCATATGCCTAGGAGCACGGAACGGCATTTTGCCATTGAATGAAGGCACAAAAATTCTAATATGCCTAAAAGTCCACCACGACGACATATTGTTAACGTAATTCTTTTACATTTAGCGGATCGGCAGCTAATCTGTTTCCGAGGATTATAGCTGTTGTCATTTTAAGTAGGACTACTATAGGAAACCCTAAATTCTTAATTAAATATAAGTCCAGACAAGTTTTATACTTAGACATTTATAAAATTAAGACAAAGCAATTGAGTCGTTCCCACTATGGGGGAGGGCCTGCCTTCAGGATCAGGCGCTGGATGGATAGTGGGAGCTGCTTTGGCAGCTGACGCAGGCGAGGTCGCGGACGAAAGCGCAAGCATGCCCGTGGCCTCTCCATGATGCGTACGAGGAATAGAGGGTTTTGGTGGGTATGATTCCCATCCAGAAGAGAATCCCACATAACTACCCCGTCCCCTCTGGGGCGCGGAGTATGTATAAACTATTCCCTTCTGACAAAAAAGGCTATTGAGTCGTAAAAACAAGCGTAAAGATTAGAAAGCTTTTTCTGTAGACAAAAGATATAGATGGAATTAAAGATAAAAGATTCATGTCGCTCGGAGCCAGACAGTCTAGCCGGAGTGTCTCGATCGATTTGTGTACAGCCGCTTTAATATTCCAATAGCTTTGTAACTTTTATGTTTACGTCTAATATAGTTTCAGCCTCCGTAGATATGTGATAATTTAATCGATTTAACTAACAATAATCTTATTTTTATCCGAAACTAATATTATAAAACGACTGTAAGTATATTTAATATATATTTGTTTAGCTTTTTTACCTTTTTTTGTTTTTTTTTTCTAGAAGTATAAGTTAAAAATACTTAACAAGCTATTTGCAGTATTCACTACTATATTTTTAAATTCTTGACTTCGGACAGACGATAATAAATTTTCGACTGTTAAATTTTTGGTTCATTTTCAATTTTACAATTTCTCTTTGCCGCAATGCAGTCAATCTATTTGTATGTACAAAGTTTGTGCAGCCGGCGACTCGAGCGATTTAATTGAAGTCGGCAAACATGCCAGAAACGTAAACCATGCAATTATAACTTCATTCTTTCATTCCACGCAATTGTATACGTATTACATTGTTTTCATTCAATTTTTTTAGAAGAAGTAGACAAATATTTCCGTTAAATGATAATGTAAAGAATCTTTTCATGATTTCCTTCACAATAAAAACAAAAGACACTTTAAGATAGCACTTACTCTGATAGGTTTTTGAAATTGGAATCTTTCAACTATCAATATATTTTTTAAATTTAAAAGTTACCGATATGCATCCAACTCTGAAACAGTCTATTATGAATTAGCATAATTTGGTCGTCAGATATTCGTTCAATTTTAATTTTATACAGTCGCGGGCAGTCCGGGTCCGTGGATGTCCTGGCGCAGCCTATTTTAAATTATAAAAGATCTAACTACTTATTCTTAGATTTAATTCTCTTCTTTGGTATATGACTTCTTGTAAATCAATGTCTTCTTATCAGATATAGAATGTAGTTTTTCGATTATTTCTCAATATTTGGTATTTCACATGCATCTTACAAATGGTAACAATGTAATAGGTGAGGACAGCTGCTACCCAGCATGCGAGCTAAACGCACAGGGCCCGGCGGCGCGCGGCTGGCGCAGCGCTGGCGCACCACCGCACGAATTACTGCTACGCCTCGCCAACGTCACCAGCGTACACAAGCTGCAGCTGCTGGCGCACCACCAGCTTATACGTATGCCAACAATATGCTATCACTTTTAACATCAATGTCTATTGCAGTACCCAGATAGCAATAGGCATTGCACTTTATTAACAATGTGTTAGTAATTTTGTTTGTTCAAAAGAATTTGCAAAAAACGTCACATGTTTTTGGCATTAAGCAACAGTTTAACGCACAACATTGATGTTGATGTTGTTTCTAATGTCCAGCTGCATGCGTGGAAGTGCTGGTGTCAGGCGGGCTGGTGTCAGAAGGCGCAGCGACGCCATGTGGGGCCACCTACACAAGCGTTGGCCGCGTAACGCTCGCCAGGCCTGCGCCGCAAGCACGCACCAGGGAGCTCAGGTATTAGCGAGGCTGCGGAAATTAGAATTTATTAAATCAGGTCTTGCCTTGAACATTGTTTCCCATAAAGAACAAATACCTCTGAGTCAATCAGTACTTAAAGTTTATTTTACGTCACAGATCCGCTGCCCTTCCGGAACCTACCATCGCGCGTTTCGTGAAACTCCGCTTGTCAGGTCCACATCCACCAGCGAACGACAACGATCAGGTAGGCCATGATTTTATGTATTGGCATGAATACATAGATAAACGATAAATGAAATGATTTTTTTCGTCTTTTTCTTTACGATTACAGGTAGCTTTAATGGCAGTGAATGTCCTGGGTATTGAAATAGATGAAGAAGGTAAAACAACTCCAGCCACTCCCAAAGCCGAGCCAACGTATTCCCCGTATGACGACCTCGCCTTTGTCATGTACGTCGACAACGAGATAGCTGACCTAGTCAGGAATCTTGATGAGAAGAAGAAAAATGCCGTAGCCGGTAAGTGTAGAAGCAAATTGTGAATTGTATTCATCAATCTCCAAAACTTAAAAGTCAAAAATACTCTTGTAATTTAGAAGAGAGGAATTATAATACTTAAATTAAAAAATATACATAATGTTATATCCATTAAACAAAGGAATCCACGTACAGAGGAAAACATATTTGAAAAGGATAGGATGGAAGAGGTATTAAGAGGACACTAATTTGTCGAAACGCTAAAATACTTTTACTTGTTGCTTATTTTCTGTGCTACTGCGGATTCCATTATTAAGCTTTATTCTCAGAGGAGCGATTCGAGTATGCAAGACGTCTAAAGTCTGCATCATCAGCGCTGGCAGCCGCAGGCATCAGGATAGGTCGCTGGAGGCTGAGGAAACGCACCGCTGCAGCTCGGGATGACTTCGAATTAGCGCGTAGAATGCGGGACAGGATCGCTGATGCTTTAGTCGGAGTTAAAGAAGATCCCCAGCTTTGCAGACTGTTTGAAGAGGATGGTGTAAGTAGATCAATTCCTTTTTTTCCTGAGTGGAATTACCTTAAACGACCGAAATCAATATTCGATTATTTTGTATTTATCAATTTCTAATAAGCCACGTGTCTCCTTATTTACTTATTTATTGTTCTTTATTTACATCCTCCAGCCAGACTCCCGCAACGACTCATCAATGCCCCAGGCATACGACTTCTCTCATCACCTGTCACCCTC